CTCACGCGGCGCATATGGATTCAGTAAGACCAGTTCCAATAATCACCACATCAAAGGAACCTTCCTCCATTTATAGGAAGTATTAAATGAACCGATATCCAATTCTTAACGAAGGGGAAAGTCAAATGTTAGGTAGTAGCTGTTGGGTGTAACGGAGGTTGGTATTATTGACAATTATAATTTATATAAAGTGTTGGAAGTACATCTTATCTCTCACACGTGATGACCTGCCCTAAATTCCATATCTCGTTTGGAAAATTTTTTGAAACTGGTTATCAGCCTCCAAGCTTCCTTCTCCCTCGCCCGCCTCACCCTCAAAATGCCTAAGGTTGACAAGAAGGCAAGCAAAGTGAAAGCGCCCGCTCACAAGGTAGAGAAGGAGAAGAAGGCTTCTCCCGCAAAACCTGTCAAGAAAAGCAAAGCAATCAGCAAGGTATGTTGACGGAAACTTCTACTGATCCTATGTTTATTTTATTTAGCCTAAGCAACCAGAACCGTCGTCTGATGAGAGCAGCGAGAGCGACTCTGACTCCGATGAAAAGCCCAAGGCTGCTCAGGTTAAGGCATCGCCTGCTAAACCTGCGCCATCCTCGGATTCGTCAGACAGCGATGATAGCGATGATGTGATACCCGCACCACCCAAAGTCGCCACCTCCAAACCTGTGAACGGAAAGGCTACCGCAACCCCAAAAGCTACATCAAAATCAAAATCTATACCCAAAAAGGCTCCCACACCATCATCATCATCCTCTGAAAGCGATAGTGACGATGCTGCAGAACTCGCGCCATCAAAACCCCTCGCGTCCAAATCCACCAATGGTAAACCTACCGCTCCAAAAGCCGCCACATCGTCGTCCGATAGTGATAGTGACGATGTCCCGACACCCAAAAAGGCAACCGCTACCCCTGGGAAAGGGAAAGCCGCCAAGGTTGCGCCTGTAACACAAGCTGCTCCTGAAGCTTCCTTATCTTCAGATAGTGGGAGTGATGGTTCCTCCGAGGACGGTAAGGCCGGTGCGAAACCAGCAACAGTCAAGGAGACGGATTCGTCAGAAGATTCATCAGATGATGAAAGTGACTCTGATGTCGAAATGGCCGACACACTAGGTGTAAATGGTAATCTTTCGTCCACTTAAAAACGTAATTTGTTTTGACCAGACGATAGGTAAACGGAAGGCCACCGATAACGTGCCCGTCCCGCTCAAAAAACTCAAACTTGACAATGGAGAAACAGCGTCAGCAGGAGAATCCGGTTCCGAGGAGTCTAAAACTATTTTTGTTGGACGCCTATCATGGTCCGTCGACAATGACAGACTCGCCCAGGAGTTCGCCAGCTGTGGCGAGGTTACAGGTGCCGAGGTCCAGATGGACCGAAATACTGGCAAATCACGTGGATTTGGATATGTCCATTTTGCGACTACTGAAGCCGTAGAAGCCGCTCTTAAAATGAATGGTGTTGAAATCGATGGCCGTCCCGTTAACATTGATCGCAGCGTGCAGCGGGACAAGACCCAGGCGCGGGAAAAACGCGCCCAGGCATTTGGGGACGAGGCCAGCCCACCAAGCAGCACGCTTTTCGTGGGCAACTTAAGCTTTAGTGTCACGGAGGATACCGTCTGGGGCTTCTTTAACGAATGGGGTGTCAAAAACGTACGACTCCCCACGGATCGGGAGAGCGGGCGGCCCAAGGGTTTTGGCTATGTCGAATTCGAGGACATTGAGGGTGCCAAGAAAGCATACGAGGCAGCTGCTGGGGCAGAAATTGAAGGACGTGCCATCCGCCTCGACTATTCCCAACCCAGAGATGCGTCTGGTAGTGGCGGTGGCCGGGGCGGTGGCCGCGGATTCGGGGACCGTGGTGGAGGTCGTGGCGGACGTGGCGGCTTCGATCGCGGTCGTGGTCGTGGAGGTTTCGGAGACCGTGGTGGTGGTCGCGGTGGACGTGGTGGCTTTGGAGACCGTGGTGGACGCGGGGGACGTGGTGCCCCCCGCGGTCGCGGTGGGCCCCGCACCGGCGGAATCACTGCTTTTGAGGGCAGGAAGACTACCTTCTAGATCCCAACCATCCCCATGCGTGCCCGATCTTTTTATCTGTTTTCCGTCGATTTGTTGTTTAGTTGTTTATATATTATCCATCAGCAACTCCAACAGGAAGATTCCTACCTAACTGTACGTTGGTCGCAAATTATAAAGATGTGGCACCCATTGATGAAGCATGTTGAGGCGAAATGACCAATGATAATGGACTACATAAGCACTACTAGTAGGATTGATATTGGGGACTAGAAAGGGGAATATATCGATGTGGTACAATACAAGTAGATGGTTACACTTAGATACCTATGGCTGTGTGCGAGGATGGGATGATACATGAATCAAGCTGAGAAGACAGCTTGAACGACGGAACAAGCACTAAATCAAACACCCAAGACAGTAACGGTGGATATAAACGGCTGTTCGCTTTTTTGCTGAACAATGTTGTGACCGAGGGATACCCACCAGCGTTTGCGCCATTTGACAAGGTGGTTGAGATGGAGTAATCGGCTGGCGAGAAGCTATATACTCATCTAAATGTATATAGATCAGCGGGGCTCATGTTTGGTGTTGAAGATCTGCGAAGACTGAAGTCACCCATGAGAAGCATGTCGACAACCGCCCTTCCGCCTTCATCTTTGGCATCATAATAAATGACACCCAACTTCTCCGCTTGCTCTTGTAGGCCGTGGTCGTTAACAAGTGTAGAGAGCGGAGCCAAAACCTCATTACCCAAGGACGAGATTTGTAGTCCGCTGTAAAACCTATTCAATTTCACTTGATGGTATAGATACCCAATAACCAACCGGGCAACCCCATTTTGATCATACGTGACCAGAGCTACATCAGAAATTTGGCTAATCTTGAATATTTTCACCGTGTTCCCTTCCAAGACCAGGTGTTCAGATGGAAATTCTATGGAAATAATGTCGAACTTGGTTTTGACGAGATCCGTAATTGTGAAGCATGCATTTGCTTGAGGAAATATAAGGTGGAAGGCGTGCATCAAACCAGCTGCCATTCCCGATGGCAGTCCCATAAGTGGAAATAACACGAAAGCACCAACAAGCCTCCAAACAACTTCCAACTACTGAAAAGAATAAGCCAATCCAAGAGCAAGGAATAGTAGGAAAATACCTCCCGCAGACGAGGGGAGGCATCAGTGACAGTAAGTTGGACATAATAATCGATCAAATGGAACAATGATTGTGTTGCACCACGATGATCTACTAAAATCTTGAAAAGACATTTAGCGAAATCGACGACTTGAGCAAATGACAATTGATGTTCCTGCTGAATTCCCTTGACCACAAAGGCAATACTGCGGAAATGGGTCGTGCCCGGTGTTTTCCCATCAAACAGGACTTGACCAAGCTCATCCATCTCGTTGGGGAGCGGGAGGATTATCTTAGCAAGGCCTGACCTGGATTCCTCATTTCTGTCGGGCGATGGGGATCGAAGCAGCCCGGGAGGTTGGCTAAGATCGCCCATTGGAGGAGGCAATCTTAAGGGTAACCCCGTCAGATTTGTCAAGACGCGCCGGAGTGCACCTGACGGTTTGGGAGCTTAACTGCCTATATTGAGAGAGGAGGGTAGGAGCGGCCAACCTGGATACGTCCATCCAAGTCTTGTATTAAAATGTTGAGATTAGCAAGTCTTATCTCTGCGTTGTTCTGCAAATGTTCCAATAGTTGGTCAAGGACATGAATGATAGAACTTCGATGCCCAGTGACATGAGCGTGCAAATGGAAAAAAACAAAGGTGTTAGATGCTCCAATGGCAACGACCTCCCGCCTGGGATGTCAGGATATAACATGTTTCAAATTCGAACGCAGTCGCCTAGGGATAGATGAAAACAAGGAAAATATAGCATTGGCTTACTTCCGCGTTCGCTGTTGTTGGTGTATCCTGGAGGCTAAGCTGTGAAAATACCCTTTCAAAATCGTTCGAAATCCTAATGAGACCCAATCCTTGTCGAGCGGTGCCCGGATCGATGCGGAAATCTCCTGTCCTATACTGGACAAACATGCTGGACAAACCAAGGGCATTGGTTCTGGTCAGTCCAGAGGACCTTTGGGGAAATCGAAATAATATTGATTTCGTGGAACAAATGTGCGCTCGTACATCACCGGTCGACGGGGGCAACTCGGTGGGGTAATCCTCAAGATGCGCCAGACTATCATGGGCTCTTTTTGGTGGTCAGCTATGCTAAAGAGAGGTGGGATTTGCTGACCTGTGCGGGTCCATCTCGTAGCGAAATATTGAGATCGTCAAGCCTCGTTTCCGCCGTGCTATCCCGCAGCCGCGCCAGGAGTTGGTTGAGGACATCGATGATAGAAATGTGGTTCCTGATTGTGCCCAATGATATGAGAGAAACAAACAGGGGTATTAAGTGCGCTGTTTGCAGTGGCCTCTTGTCTGGGGTATCGGGATAGCTCGTTTCAAATTGCAGCGCGATCAGCTCTGGATAAACAAACCTCCATATGGACTGCAGGATGAAACGGCAGTTGTTGACCTCCCCCTTCTTGCTTGCCACCATTGTAGCGAACGGATCTGGTGTTATTGTTGATTGGGGAACCAAAGGGCGACAACGTTCGAGACTATTTCCACGGAACTTGAAGCATCAAGTATATTATATACCCAACCTATACGGTAGACTTGATATGGTCTGAGTCCTGTGACTGACTTGCGAGGCGGTGGTTGTCATAACTGACGCCTGTTTCTCGCTCTGGGAAGTTGGAACGCGAAAGGAGAAAATCTAAGGGTACTCACGAATTTATTGTCAACAACGGCAACGCATATCCATCCTGCTAATTCGAGGACCTATGATGGTACAGAACACAAGACCACCGTGTCCTCTTATCTCGTAGCAACCGCTGTGCTCGAAAGTTTAGTACGAAACAGTCAGTCGGGCGGCGCGTCGTCATTATTGAGCTGTTCAGCATCAACCTTGACCGGACCATTATGGGCACATGGTGTAGTTGGTTATCACGCCCGCTTAGCATGTCAACTTGCTTGCGGGCGGTCCCCGGTTCAATTCCGGGTGTGTCCACTTTTGTTTTTCCCCCCTAGGCTCTGTCGACGGTCTCTGGTTGGGCAGTGGTTGCACTGACAGTGACACGGTTTCTGTATATCGCAGGACGCGATTGACCTCTTGCGGTCTTGTCGCTCCACGCAGGATCTTGCGGGCCCAATTACCTCGGGCTCGGCTTATTCCTATGCCATAACATGGCCCTTGTTGTTTCCCGCGAAGCGCTCGACCGCTTATCTATTACATATGAATGTCCACCCGCCGGGAGTCGGGGGCACGTCAGGTTAGACCGGCCCGTGGCAAATCTTCGAGACCCTACCCGCGCCCCCCAGGCCCCTGCACCTCTTGACAATGATCTGTCGACTGTGGCTGGGCATTGACTTGTTCCGTTACCTTGGCTCTGCTGGGAGACAGCGGTCCTTTTGTGAGAGATAAACTCACCTATTGGGATCTCCACTGTATTCGATCCTTCGATCGCGCAAATTGCCCCCAACAGATGAAACATCTATTCCGATGCATTCGAGCTACACGCTAGACACGCACCCCAAATTCGCAGGTTATTTTCAGGACCGAAGAATCCCCTTTGCACCGGGTTTTCCCAACCGTCATTTTCCTCGCGGAGTCGACAATGACTACTCCATGATCGATGCACGATCTCTGACCTCATGGTGACTCGGTGACTGACGCGCGCACAAATTATATCATCGTTACACACAACTTGCGAAAATAGCAAGTACACCCCCCCTCCCCTACCCTGCACATCTCGACATATATGTGTCAAAATTGCCCGGTGGCAGGTGACATCCGTGGTTAACCGGAAACACCCTTCTCTGCCTTCCCACAACAATGATCTAATAGGTTGAAGGGGTGCACCGACCCCGCATGTCATATCGCGTACGAATCATGATTGCCATAACCACTGGCCATGCGCTGATGCGCGCCAGAATGCGGGAAGTAAACACACACGGGTGCTCACCGAAATTTTCCAGAGGCGCGTTCCGGCACATCACGCAGGCTTGCGTCCACCCAGTCTCGCGCTTCTTGGGGAGACGGAGCCTTATCAACGTAACGTGAAATGCGGACGGGGCGATCCTTTCATTCCCCCATGTCTCATGCTAGGATCTGCGGGCTCCGTTTATCCAGCTGCCCGTTGTACAGCGCGTCACGCCAGTAATCCTGAGGATGGCGTGGAATGAGAGGTGTGACGAGGGCAAACCGAGATGTTGCACACAGCATGCTATTAATGAGTAAGCGCAGAATTTATTGTGTGTGGATTGGATCGGACGCTTCCAGTGCAAATGTCCCATGTGAGCCTGATCTCGGTGTCGAGCGGCGTCTGCTCCACACACGCAGGGCATGCCACACATTATTCTCACCGATGCCATTGCCGTTCGCCGCGCGGCGCAACTTGTTGCTGGATTATGAGAGAAAATGGTCCCACGGGTTTCGATTATTGTGGCAAAGACAATGAAAGTGCATATCATTATCACACTGATGTCTCGAACCGTTCCCTCACACTCACCACCCCATCCTCGCATAATTCAACTGCATAACCTCACAGTATAGTATGCACAATTGCACCCTCTAGTGCGAACGCCGCCCTATGTGAAATAGACCTTTCTCAGCTCAAATACCCCTATCCGTGGTACACCGCCGATAAGAAACACCCTTGCACACGCGATGCACCCACATATTGACACCAGTGGGACCTGCTCTTCGGTAGCGTATCACTCGTCTCAGACCAGGTCCTGGGCACTTCCACCACCGATACACCCGCTGCCATCACGCCACCGGCACTACCTCGACCACGGGGACCATCAGGGCCCACAGAATCACTAGCCTATCGGGCTTATTGCAACAAGCCATTCGTGACTGCCAGCACGGTGATCCCATTCCATCGCCACCGAATCTAGACGTTATAGATGTGATCGGCGGGGAGGATCGCTGCCCGCCGGGTGGCGCTTTGTCTCAGTGGTTTGTATGATACGAGCAATGACACTGCATGACCCCTCCGCATTAGAGAATTTGGATATTCCCTGTACACGAGTCGTACCCTGCGAAGTACGAGGGGATGACACGTATTGCTGGTGCTAGCTGCAATCTGCCATTATCACCCTAATCTTGCGTCGATCAGGAATCATTAGGCGCCAGACCAGGCGGATTTTCGCCAAACCGCACCGTACACCTGCCCACGCACCCATTACAACGGAAAGGTGCTGGTAGCCCGGATTGCAAATGGCGTCTTCTATCTAGAACTCTAGCGCGTCATCGGGTCCGGCTGTGACCAGATGATATTTGCAAATTTGTATCAGCCGCACTCCCTACTAGTCCATACATGCTACTCTAGGATCGATCTAGTACATACTAGCTCGGATAGCAATAGCGAATATCGATGATCGTGCGGATATGGTGCAGCACCTGCGCAGTCCAATTATCACTATCGCTAGAAATCAAGTACCAGACACTTCCTCACGCCCAACATCCAGTACTGAGCAAGGCCAAAATTGCAGCACGCACGGTCCGAATCCCCCCCCCCGCAAATCGGGATCAAGGGCAACCACGGTGTGTCTCGCGCTCTGTTTCACCCTATTCTAATATACAGTAGATCCGGGGGTCAACCGGTCACCCGGGGGTGTTGCTGCCCTGCGTGGTGTCTTGGCCAATTCTGCGTACGTCGCGCACGACAGACGTATGTACGTACCTCGGAGTGTATACCAGCCTATATTATTATACATTGTAAGAATTTGATGTGGTCCAATGGGGATTGCTAGCCCCCAATATGGGTAGGCCCACTTATCTCCTCGGGTTCGTGGGGTTGGCTGCGATTCTGAATGGGCTGAAAGGATGCATCATGACAAAAACCCCCTCTTTCAGAACCCAAAGTTCGCAGCATATTGAACGTACATATACTACCCTACTAGGAATATCAATATTGATACACTACTATATATCTGTCCAGCGACTAACTCGGCTCCCGCTCCGTGCTTCCTCCCGAACTCCTGTCGGTAAGTGCACCGACCGTCAAGTGGCGGATGCGTAGTGTAGGGGTCAAAGACGTGATGGCCGTTGTACATTTTCATTTTCATACTTGGGTATGACATGCCGATAGGCCTATTGTCATAGGATGCAGGGCGCGTCATTGATGTGTCTTGCTGCCACATTGTAAGGTGCACATATTGGTCGTGAGTAATTGGGCGTTCGTGAGAGATGGCGGTCTCCGGCTGGGACGCGACCAGGGCGGAGCAGGTGAATGGGAAGGGTGTGAGTGATGAGAACCTTGGGAGGTGGTGAGAATGGCGTCCGTGTATGATTTTTTGTTGTTTGCTTTTGTCATTTTCATAACAGCATAAAAAGCAGCCAAGAGTGGGGGTAGAGGGAATGCGACCGGAAAGAAAGAAAAATAAAATAAGTGCCAACAGCGGGGTAAGGCGGCGATGTGGTGGGTGAGCCTGCCCAACGATCACAGCCTGCCTGGAACCCAAACCCAAAGGATTATTAAAGATACATCCCACACGCAGCCGTTGGGCGCTCAGTATCCGTAGCCGCCCCCTCCTCTTTGCCCCTGCCCGCCGCCGCCATTGTTTGCTTTTGACGGCAGGCTGACGTTCATGCTGACGGGCTGAACGCCTGGTCCTGCGACACCCGATACCTGGACGCCCAGGGGCACCACGCCGGCACCACCCACAAGTGCGCTAAGCCGTGATATTTCTTCTCGTGAGGAGACCAGCGCCGACGTGAGCCGCTCATTCTCGTTTGAGAGGAACTCGACTTTAGCCTGGAGTTGAGCCAACCATGCCTTCTTACGTTGACGGCATTTGAGGGCGGCTGAGGAGCGGAATTGAGAAGAAGGAAAAGACGATAGGGAAGGAGCTCACCCTGGCGATTCCTTTCCAAAAAGTTGCGCCGCTTCTCTTCCTCTGTTTCAGGCTTTTTGTTGCCACGGCGGGTACCGGCGTTGGACCGATCATCGAGATCATCGCCGTCCATATCACTGTCGCCGCCGTCGTCGTCATCGTCGTCGATATCGTCGTCCATCCTAGGACTGGTCTTCCTGCCACGGCCTGCGCCACTGGTAGCGCGTGTCCTCTTGTTGGAGCCATTTTTACCGTTAGTGCCGTTGGTTGATGGCGGGGGCGTGATGGCGTCATATGATTTTCTTTTGGAACCACGCTTACCATTGGCGGTGGTGCCATTGGTTCCATTGACGTTGCCGGCACGTGCCTGCGCCTCCTCGCGCTTGGTCAGCTCATGGTGGGCTTGCGAAAGCAAAAAGAGGCCGTTTGCAGCGGTACTGGCAGCATTGTTTGCGGACGTCAGATAGTTGGATCCGTTTGCGGCCGCAGCACTATCGGTGTTGGATTGAGTGGAATCGGTGCCATTGGACTGTGAATAGCTGTTTTGCTGATTGCTGGAGTTTGAGTTTGAGTTGTTGAGGACGCCTGTGATGGCGTTGAGCGTATTTGGGGTGATGGTTGCAGCGGAGGATGCAGTAGCACTTGAACCGTTGTTCATGATGGCAAGGAAGGCAGCTGTACTGGGAGAAGGGGGAAAGGGGACGTTGCCAGCGACAAGTGGAGTGAGACCGGAGCCGGGGGTGAAGCCGGTTCGGGGGGTGAGGCCGGAGCGAGGAGTGAGGCCGGTGCGGAAGTTGGGGTCGAATTGGAGGTGGGTTGCGGGTTCGTTGGAGGGCTGCGGGCCAGCAAGCATAGCGGGGGAGAGCGGGCCGGCTCGGAGTGAGTTGAGGGACGAGTTGTAACCCCAACCGTGAGCGCTGCCTGCGGGGGAGGAGATGGAGGCGAGTGGAGGCAAAACAAGGCGGGAGGGAGAGGCGCTGCGATGTTTTGGTTTGTTGTTATTGCTGGCGTTATTATTATTATTGTTGCTGCTGTTATCGCGCGAGCTGGGTCGGTCGTGGTCGGCGGAATCGTTGGAGGGGGACGAGTTGCGGAGATTGGAGGATGTGCGGAAAGAGACCTCGAACGGGTTCGGCTCGAGGGCAAAGTCATCGCGGGTCTGGCGAA